AGGGTCTCCAAGGCTGTCAATCTTCACAGAAGCAAAGCCCAAACCACACCCACTGCCATGGAGTCCATTCTGACCCACAGCACCCCTAGAGGACAGAATGGAACTGCACCACAGGGTTTCCAAGGCTGTCAGTCTTTACGGAAGCCAACTGCCACATCTTTCTCCCATGGAGTGGCTGGTGGGTCCAAACCACCAACCTTTGGGTTAGCAGTCAAATGCCTTAACCACTGTGCCACCAGAGCTCCTTAAGAAGAGGTTGTTGTTGTTGTTATGTACCATCGAGTTGGACCCGACTCACAGTGACCCCTCCTTGGGTTTCGGAGGCAGTATCACTATGAAAGTAGATTGCCCAGTGCTTTATAGCCACAATTTATCTAAGACAGATAGCATGTGGCCTATGAGATGTATTCTATATTAAAACAGTATTCCACCATCTTTAAACCATAAGCCTTAAAACAGAAATATCCCCTGCAGTCTTTTTTAAACCCAACAATAGTTTTGCTTAATTAGTGAAGAAGGTCTGCCTTGAGCGCTTTTAAAGAACTGTCTCTATGGGATCCAATTGACAACAACAACTCAAAAGGTTCGATAGGAGTGTAGGGAGCAGTAAGTTTATGTCAGCGGGGGAGGAACTGTCAGGAAAGGATGGTGAGGATGTTTGTACAACTCACAGACTTATCAGTTTAAAAAAAAAAAAAAACGATGGACCAGGTTTGCTGGTCTGATAGAGCCTGATGGAACCACTGAGACTATGGCCCCTAGCTGCCCTTCTGGTCTGGAATTGAACCCACTCCTGTGACATCCAGCCAAACAAAAGACAGGCATATGAGCTGAAGGTTTATATTAGGTAGATACACTCCTTGGAAAGATGAATCATGGGAGAATAGAAAGGCTGTGTATGCCCAGGGAGACAGCTCAGGGGGCAGGAATGCATGGGAGGGAAGGACACAGGGAAGAGGTAACTATCAGGAGGAAGTGGGAAGGCTTCTGTAGGAAATTGCAGTCAATGTCAGGAGACAAAGTGTATGTGAGATGCTGTATGGAAAGTGAATTTATACACCGGGACAGCCTTAGCTCCCATCTGAGGAGAAGCAGGGTGTCTTTGGCTGAAGTGTTTGTCTGTGTGAGGCATCTCCTGGATCCTCACCTCAGGAATACATCCTCTCTCAGAGGGTGACTTTGAAAGCCCTTGTGTCCACACTGCACAATTAGCATAGCATCAACTCCCACCAGCCCCCCAGCTCTGCAAGGCTTCATCAAGAGAAACCGTATCTGGGGGAAAATGCCTGAGGGTAATGTCACATATCGTCTTGGTGTACACTCAGAGCTGTCCCCATGTCTCACCCTGGGTTCTCCAGAGGAGCAAATCCTTGAGAAACACGTGTAGTGAAACCTGTGAGAGCCGAAACTCAATGAGACTACCTTGTTTTCCAAGTCCCACAAGTTTTCTGTCTTTACAGGGTGCACTCTGACCAATTTCCTGTCACTCATGTTAGGGGAAATATTTCGAGTTTTCCTTCTCTGACAGGTTTCTATCTTGCACAGGTTCCAGCTTTTGCAGGTTTTTTTCTATATCTACAGAGAGAGTCAGCTGCAAGGACCCAGGTGAGGAGAGGGAACCCAGACCATGCCCACAAGCAGAGAGGCAGGAAGGCAGGGAGAGGACAGAAAAGGCAAAGGGGACCAGAAC